CTGGGATCCAGTTCTAGGAACTACATTTCAAGAAAGGTGAGGATGAACTGGAAAAAGTCCAGAAAGCAAGAAAAATTATAAAAGGTTTAGAAAAATTTGACTTATGAGGATTTTTTTTTCTAAAAACTGGGCCCATTTAGTCTTAAAACGACTGAGGAAGTAATCTGAGATCAGTCTTCAAATATGAGAAGGGCTGTTTCAAAAAGGGTGGTGACCAACTGTTCTTCATGTCAACAGAAGGCAGGATAAGAAGTAACGGGGCTTAATTCATATCTATGGAGATTCAGATTAGACATTAGAAAAGACTTTCAAACTAAAAAGGTAGTTTCACTGTGGAATCTATTTCCAAGAGAAATTGTAGAATTCTCATTGTTGGAGATTTTTAAGAACAGGATAGACAAAACTGTCAGGAATGGTCTAGATTTATTTGTTCGTCCCTCAGACCAAAGGGCTGGATTTGATGATCACTTGAGGTCTCTTCCATCTCTACCACCACCTTGTTTCTTCTTACAATCCCCTTCTCATGCTGACCTATTCATATGTCCAAGAAAAACAGAATACAGCTTCCTGCAGAGTTGTCAACACTGAACTAATGGAAGTGCAATGACAAAAGAAAGCTAGGTGAAAGTGAAATGAATACTATTGTCTTGAGAATGTGGAAGAGGCAAGACACAATCTTCTCCTCACTTTTCAGGGCCACATCACTATTTACCCTAAGGCAAAAAAGGGAGTGCAATGTAGATGCAGGGGGAGGCACGATGTCTCCAAACTCAAAATTCCATTACCTGCAGAAGCACCCGGCGCACATCAGCATCACCGTGATCTGCATTTAGCTGGCCCAGCAGCAGCTCTGCGGAGAGCCTCTGGCCCACAAAGTTGGTGACTCGGTTACCATCATAGCCATTGAAGACCCCATAGAGGTAGCAGTTGTTCTCACTCCTGTCAGAGAGGGTGAGGATGAAGGGGTTAATGCTGTGTGTGTGGCACAACAAGAGGGATGGATAGCACCACCAGTGAAACCTCTCCTAACAAGCCTTGTACCCTCCAATTCTACCCACATTTCTGACGCCTATTATAAAAAGCCACACACAACTTCTGTCCTCTCTCTCCGTCTGTGAGTTGCTGGCACCACCTGCAGCTCACTTACCTGAATTTCAGCCAGTTATCCTCCAATGGGTGGCCTTCTGTACTCTTACCATCTGCACCATAGGAACGGTTTGGAGCTGAGCCCACTCCAGAGAGCTGGCAAAGTGGCAAATCATCTGTCCAGCTTGGCTGCTGCTCCTTGGTGAACAAAAACAGCGAAGTGCCCATGTACAATCCCAACCAGTTCAGAACTAGGGATGAAAAAAATCACTACAAAATGTAACTGTGTAGCCGCTAAATCTCCTAGTAGTTACATGAGCTGCTGGCTCTGCAGTAAAAAAAAGCTTTATACTGCAGAGTCGGCTCCCCAGGAGTGGGGTCAGCATGCACCAGCTCCTGGCCCCATGCCTGAAGGAACCAGCTTCACTGAGAGCTCAGAGTCCGCAGTGTGGGCCTCTTTGGCTCCACTCATACAACTACAGCACTCACACCCCCTCCCTTTGACCCTCACACAGGCATCCAGCCAGGTGTGTAACCCCCCCCACCCACCCCCT